TTTTGGTGCAGGACCGAACGTCGTCACTGCCTTGAACCACTCTGAGGGTATTTGTCCCCAGAATGTTGGACTTTGGAGACAGTCGTTCGGTGAGCCTAAGGGGTTAATTAGGGATGGACTCGGGCCGGGTGGCCCGACCCGGAACCGGCCCGGGACCGGTACTGTTCCGGCCCGGCCCGACCCGATGGCCCGGTCAGTGACCGGTCCGGGTAGGCCCGGCCCGTGGGTTTCCGGTCCGGGCTCGGGTCACCCAAAACAAGGCCCGATCCGGCCGGGCCCGGGCCCGGTTCGGGCCAAAAACTATTTTTTTTTTTCAATTTTTTTTACATTTTCGGGTTGGGCTGGGTATTTTGGGCCATTTGGGGTGGTTTGGGGGGTTGGGGGTGGGAGGGGGCTTAATTAGGAAGAGGAAAACAAAAAAAAATATAATGGGCCCGGACCCGGACCGGACCCGGTGGTTACCCGGGCCGGTCCCGGGTCCACCATTTCTGACCCGCCGGCCCGCCCGGGCCTAGGCCCGACCCGGACCCGGACCGGACCCGAGTCCAACCCTAGGGTTAATGGACCGGTCCTTTTTTGGCTATTTACCCAACAAAGAGTTTCTCTATGGTCAAAAAACGCAAACATGCAATTGTACTGCTATCTCCCATTTCATGTGTTTCGGATTTGCGATTATAATCTATTGGTCCATCTCCATTTTATTTATTGGCTTATTTCTCTTTTATGTTTAAAATAGTTACACTCCATCCAGGGGCAGAGCAAGAGCATTGAATCGAATTACGAAAAAATTTACCTCAAAAATTTAGGAATTTTTTAAAATTTGAGGTGAATCAGGGCCTAAGTTGGCCCCGTTACATCCGCCCATGCCTCCATCCCAAAAGTGTGGTTCCATTGCAAAATATGAGGTTTGATGGAAAAAAATAAAAATAAAAATCTAAGAATAGTAATTACAATCAGAGTTCAAATTTAGAAACTACTACAATAAAAGATTTATTAAATCACATCAATTTAGTTTGGTTATACAAAAAATGATACACCAAAATGAGAGACTCCATATTATCATCTTGCGTCTATGTGATTATTATCTGTACATAACATACATATTATCGATCGGTCGATCGGTCAGTACCCTTTTGTGTATAGGATGTGGTTTGCTAGGGATGGGAATACCAAGAAGTGGGAGATCTACACCAAAGATGTGCCCCTCTGTGCCTAATACTGATCCCACAACGGCTTACGCTCCAAGTTTTCAGGAGCCGCATACTAAAAAGGTATGCATTGCACCTGCTGCTCCCATCATTGGAGGTTTAGGGGTGTTAGTCCACGCGATCATCAGCGCCCTTTATGGGTATGCAGCTGACAAGAGCAATCCTAGTCTCCCAAGATAAGCTACCACGCACTGCCCCCACCACTATATAGTTCTTTCTGGAGGACCTCAGCAATACTAGTAGTATATAATTCCAGTTCATATACTCCAATTAGTTAGCCATTTACTCATACTGTAACATGTTTGTCTCACTTTACTATTTGTCAGTCGGTTATTCATCTATCAAAATTGTATTCCCTCTGTCCTTTTTTTGTCCACGGAAAAAATTTATGTCCTAACAAAAAAAGGAAAAAGATTGTGTGATTGATATTTGCACAAATAAGAAATTATGTGATTGAGAAAGTATACCAATTTTAGTGGAAAAACTAAATAAGAAATTGTGCGGAAAATAGTTTTTTTCTAAAATATGACTTTGACTATAAATTAGTCACTATGATGTAGATTTCAACGTAAATATAATCACTAAAAGTTATCAAGTCATATTTTTATTCACTATCCATATTTTGATTATATATTAGGTATACTTTCAACCGAATATTATGTAAATACTTCCATATATGTTTGTTGTACTCTACAACAACCTAGATATTTCTCTTTCCTAACTTGTAGCAAACTGTTATGATAGCTAGTGTCTTTCTTGTATGTTATTTCCTTCAATATGCATATGTAAGATGTATATAATGTACTTGTACACATGGAATATAATCACGAGCTAATAACTTCCCAAACAAAGATCATTTCCGCATGAAAAAAAGGAAAACTGTCAAATAAGTCCACCTACTTTTAATGAAAAGTCAATTGAGCCCATATACTTTTTAACGAGACAATTAAGTCCACGAAGTTTCAAAAAATAAACAAATCAGCCATTTTACAGGTAATCAAACGGTTACCGCGAAGTGTATGACTAGCTGGCATTTTTTACGATTTTCTAACTTTATAATTTTTCTTTTATTTTCCTATTTCTTTCTCCCTCTTTTCTCTTTCTCTTTCTTTCGTTATTCTCCGATGTTTTAGCCCTCCGTCCAGGGTTAAATGCACCAAACCCCCTCGTGAAATATAAATTCGGCGTACCTTGTGATTTTAAAAATGTGTCAAACCCCCTTGTATTTTAATTAATTATGCGCAAAACCCCCTTCAAGAACAAATTTTATAATTTTGAAATCACTTTTTTTAATAATATGGTTGAATATGCAAGTAACTTTGTCCAAATTTCTAAATTATACAAAAAACTAATCATTTTTCATTTTTTGGAAATTAAATTTGTTCTTGGAGGGGGTTTGGCGCATGATTAATGATAACACGGGGGGATTGACGCATTTTTTAAATCACAGGGGGCTAATGCGCCGAATTTATATTTCACGAGAGGAGGACATGGCGCATTAAACCCAGCTTCAAGTCCATCAAGGGAAATTCGTTTTTGTTCATCAATCCCAAATCCATGCCTCTTCCGCTTCTCGTCGCCCTGTCCTAATCTCACTTTTTCTTTCTTGCCTAAACTAATGCCAATCGCGATGAAACTAAAGGGAGAGGTGGCTATGTAGCAAGGGCGGCGAAGGTGCAGATCGGAGGATGGAGGTGGTGTCCTCGCTATGGAGATAGGGGCAAAGAAGGTCACTTTAGTGGAAGAGCCGGAGGAGCCGGAGATGGCGGCTTGAAGTCGGTGTCTATGGATCGGATGTAGGGGCAGCGGAGGGGAGACCATGGAGGCGGTGGCTATGGAGGTCGGGGAAGCAGAGGTCGCTGCAGTTGATGAGGTGGATGCGGAGGCCGCAGAGACAGTGGGTATGGAGGTAGGGGGGCGGAGGTCGGGGTGCGTAGCTATGGAGGCATGGGCGGCAGAAATTAGGACGGTGATGAAGGCCTGGAAACGTAGCAGACCTGTGCACGGAGGTAGAAGAAACCAAGAGAAAAAAGGAGAGAGAAAAAAGAAAGAAGGAAAGAGAGAATGAAAAAGATATAGAAAAAATTATGAAAACGTAAAAAGGCCAGCAAGGACGTCCATGTAAGCAGTCAACCGGGTAACCGGTAGATGACCTATAAATAAGCCGATTTGGTGATTTTTTTTTATACTTTGAGGACTTAATTGACTTAATAAAAAGTATGTGGACTCAATTGACCTTTTGTTAAAAGTAGATGCATTTCGTGCATATAAAGGAAGTTTGGTTTCCTCAACTGGACAATCTCTCTACCTTAAGAAGATGAAGGTATGGAAGACTGGCTGAGTGTGATTGGTGTTGGTCGGGTGGATAACGACGTCAAGTGATCCGTCGTTACGAATTACCATCCCATACATGGACTTTGTCCACAAGTTCTAGGAAGAGCTCAAGGTACGATTCGAGGCAGCTGATGCTATGAGGTTTCACGAGATTAAAGAAGCTACTCAATATTGGTGTCATGGACTTTCAGTGACTGAATATTTTGAGCGGCTCAAATCTTTGTCAGACAACTTTTGTTGGATATCGCAAAGTGCCGCAGTGTGAACTTGGAAGGTGTACATGACTACATGTGATCTGGAGAAGCAATTCTCACCAGAGTTGAAGATGAAAAAGATTCATGAGTTTTTATTAGGGTTGAACGGTGCGGCGAATGGAGGATTGCGTTCAAATATATTCAGTATGCCTCAAAGCCTATAATATGGTGATACACGAAGAGAGGCATTGGCATGTAACCCAAACGCAGGACGAGAGAACATGTGGCCGCTTTTCAGTTCTCTGAACTATAGAATAAAATTACAAAGATAATGAATATTGTAGAAAAAAGCCAGAGAAGATGAAAAACTGAGTACAGTTGTTTTCCAGCTTATGTCCTAGCAATCAAAGAAAACCTTGATCAAGATCTAACATCCTTCCAGATTACCCGTGTATCATACCAAAGAAAATTGTCTGATGGAGTGAAGTTGGTAACAAGAAAATTGTAGGATTCTTCGAATGAGGAATGAGAGTAGGGGAATGAAATCCTCTACTACGGGTGGGCAAAAGGTCAAAGGAATCAGGTTGGACCGGGTATACAGGTTCAGGACAAATGAGGATAGAGTCCTAATTTTAGAAAAATCAAACAAGGCAGGGCGAAACGGGTCTTAAAAAAATGACCTGTGAGGGTTTTATAATTTGATAAAACAAATATCCAGACAAATCAGTTTTTATTTAGGGAAAAATAATAAAAATACCCCAAACTTTGATGGGATGTGAATTAAACACCCCAAACTTGCGTATGTAATGTGAATACCCCAAACTTTATATAAAAAGTTATTTTATCACCATTGTCATGTATTATTGCATAATTTGAAATAGAAAATTAAAATTGTTGCAATTATATAGATTGAGGTAACATTATTTATTTCGCAATGGAAGTTTATAATGTTAATTGTGTCTTCATGAATTCTAAAATATTTTAAATTATGGAATTAACACCATAAATTTACATTTTTGAAAGAAATAATACTTGACTATTGTGCCAAAATAACTTTTTATATAAAGTTTGAGGTATTTAAAATACATATGCAAGTTTGGGGTGTTCATCTCACAAGTCACACCCCTTCAAAGTTTGGGCTATTTTAATTATTTTTCCCTTTAATTTATATATAGATTTACTGTTGATAGAATATCTCTAGAAAACACAACAATTTACAAAGAAAAGGTAGAATGGAATCAAGAAAACAATCAAGCTTTATTATTGGTGAACAGTATCAATGGTCGAAGCCCCAAAAGAAAGAGACGAGTAATCTCTAACTTTCCCAATTTAGACTACAACAGTCAAACAGCCTGCTTGACCTCTCCCAGTTTATTCTATTTATACTATTCTAGTACACTTATTATTATTATTATTATTATTATTATTATTATTATTATTATTATTATTATTATTATTATTAGTCTATTAGGCCCGATTCCTATCAATACTCCCCCCTTAAACATCCACTTTGCCCTCAAGCTGGGTAATAGGAAGTAGCCATGATCTTCTGCTTCCTCTTCATCCTGGCGCTTCTACCTTCCCAATATCTAACTGATTTCTGAGAAAAGAGCTTCCATACTTGATTCTTCCAATTCATAGATGTTACTGCAGCATATATTATCTCTGGTGAATTTTCATTTTCTTCCTTAGTCTTCAGGCCTTCAATAGCCACAAATATTTTCATGCTTTCCTGAGGTATAATACTTACAACAGTAGCAGAATTTGTGTTCATGTTCTGAACATCAGGACACTCATCCACTTTAATCTGTTCATCAGAAATTTTTGAACTACTATTTGCTTCAACTCCCTTTGACTTTTCTCCCATTGAATTAAGATTGAATGCCATGATGCTTTTCAGTAAAACAATGCCATCCTCCGCCGTACTCGGAGTACACTCCACATCATTCCACCAAACAGCTCCCATAGAACTACTCCACCAAAATCTCTCTGCCACTGCACGTTCCTCCAAAGGAGAGTCCATTTTCACCTGGTGTCTTAAAACAGAGAATTGGAAGAACCCAGGCTATCTCTAAAATGGCACAATCTTTGCTAGTATGAAGCAACATAATAATAAAGCAACCCTTTGTGGTTGAGAGACCAAAATCACCAAGTATATCAATCATAATTATTTGGTTCCATCCTTGTCTGTCAGATGAAGAAAGTTCGTTTTCTCTAAAAGAACTCCAATCTTTGCTGCTGTTATTCAAGCTGGATAGTTTGTCACATTTGAGGGAACGAGTCATTGCTCCAAATTCAGGTCCAAGATTAACTGAAGATTTCTCATTGCATTCCTCTTCAGGGTTTGTTTCCTTAACTGAAGGTATAACCGGTTCCAATTCTGTGTTTATTGTTGTTGGTGGAGTCCCTGGGGATCCCTTTTCTAATGTGATGACAAGAGAGGATGAGCTGTGAGATCCAGCGATTGAAGAAACCTGCAAACTGGGGACTTCTGCTTGCGTCGAAACCAGAAGACCAGAAGAAATTGTTTGCGCACTCAGAAAAACGGCTTGAGAGGAAGAAGACGAACCGTGAGAATCGATTGGAGACGGTGAAGATTCTCCTCTCAATCGTGTACTTCTTGAACGCGAATTGATCGCAGGTGAGTAAGTCTGTGAAGGGTAAGAAGAAGTTCGTGATTGCGAACTAAAAGAAGCCTTCTGCGACTCAGTTCGCGAATTGGAAATGACTTGCGATGCGAAGAACGTTGCGAAGAGTTCGACGTATGCCATCTGCTTCCTGATCGATGTTGACCTCTCTCCACCAAGGTCGCTAGCTTAGCTCGTATCTCTGCTATATTCGCCGCAATAGCTCTGTTAGCTGCGGCGAACTCCCGTTGATTTTTTTCCAGATCATTCAATCTTCCTTCCATCTTAGCACGCGTAAATCTCATCCAGCGATCTACGTGCTCTGATACCGCTGATAGAATATCTCTAGAAAACACAACAATTTACAGAGAAAAGGTAGAATAGAATCAAGAAAACAATCAAGCTTTATTATTGGTGAACAGTATCAATGGCCGAAGCCCCAAAAGAAAGAGACGAGTAATCTCTAACTTTCCCAGTTTAGACTACAACAGTCAAACAGCCTGCTTGACCTCTCCCAGTTTATTCTATTTATACTATTCTAGTACACTTATTATTATTATTAGTCTATTAGGCCCGATTCCTATCAACTGTGGGACATTTTGTTAATGAATTCATATTGTTTAAGTTTAATTTTGAACTTTTACTATATTATGGTGACGTTGAACTTATTTAGTTTGATAATGTTATTACTCCGAACTTATTAGCTAATTTGCTAGCATGATTTTTTAAAAGGACCCAGAACATAGACTGAACCGCCTCGTTTCAAATGAAACAAGTAAGGTATGATTCATATTAGGAGACTTGGTATATCCAGCCCGAACTTACTCATTTAACGGAACCAATGGTTCTTGGAAACTTTTCGATTATCCGGACATACCAGACTGCGCACTCCTATCCTTAACGGCAAAGGTGTTTGGCATGCTTGAGCAAAAGTAATTGTCAAAAAAATAAGTTGGACAGGCAGATAAAACACTAGAAAGTCACCCACACGGCCACACCCAATGCTGGCTACACATTACTAAAGCAAATTTGTAGTTGGATTTGTTGAACAAAAAGCAAACCTAAAAAATATACCCTTTGCTCGTCTCATCATTTTGAATTTTGAAACTTCACCAGACCACATCCATTATTAGTCCTAAATATGAAGCAAGTCCAAAATTGTGAAGAGAAAAAGGTCACTGATAGTAGGACACAAACAGTGACATGTTTCCTTTACAATGTGACCTAGTACACAAAACCATTAAAAGAAGAATTTCAAACATCAATACCTGAAGAGATCAAAACCAATTGCATCTAGTGTTCCTGCTTGTGTTGATACAAAGTTTCCAAGGGGGTTCTGCTCTTCAAACATATGCTAATTACCATGCGACCGCTGGAGATTGCCAGCCATTCAAAGCCACCACTATAAATCATAAGTGACAGCTGAGTGTACAAAATACTACGAATTGAGCTGTCAATTGAAATAATTGAAAGAAAATTGTAAATTTTTGGAAGTTCATGTACTTAAAAAGGATTTTCCATCATTTGCAATGGAGCCAAAGATTCATTATTTTTTGGCTTGAGATTATGATGGAATAAAGCAAAATGGCTCACTAAACTGTCTGCGCTTCTTTGTTATGGAGCATCAGTCAGTCCATGCAATCTTTGACGTGATTTTCACTATGGGTCATCCGGAAACAGTCTCTCTGTGCTTTAGTACAAGAGTAAGATTGCGTACATCCGACCCCCCCCCCTTACCCCACCGTAGGTGGGAGCCTTTGCGGCACTGGGGTATAAATGAAAATGATGATGATGTATTTAAAAAGGAATGAAAAAAGAAAAAAAAACAGCTTTACTCCAAGTTCATACTCAGAAATACCTTTAAAACGTTTAAACAGACCCTGTCCTGATGACCATCTCATGAGAAGGCATAAATCTAGATCCCTTCATTTATCTGCTTCTTGACAAAAATATTTGGAAGCTTGAAAAAGAAGAGGTTCATTCCCCCAAGATGTCCACCCAGCTGATAGTTCCCTAGAGAACAGTTCAATGCAACGGGCATGTTGTGTTCCTGACACATACTCCCGCAGCAGCTCTAAAGCAAGAAGGCAACGTGAATTCAAGATATGAAAAATCAATTAAATGATAACACATGAATATTTATAGCAGATTGTCCTGCTATATAAATTGAATCAGTTTTCCGACACATTTCAATATGTCATAGAAGTCATCTCAACTTCTCAAATCTCAACCATCTTCACCTCTTTCTACATTATTTATATTTTAGATGTGTGTTTCTTTATTAACACCCGGTTATCCCGACATCGCCGGACAAATCTTGGGCCCCCAAAAACATATCACAAACCCTTGAAAGAAGTAAATCCAAGACGCTCGAACAATTCGTTGGATTTTCAACACCCATATATATATCACCGCACACAAGAATCCGCTCTTCAATTATTGACTTTTCACGTCCTCAAGTTATTAGAGCAGCTACCAAAAGAAATGTTACGGATGCATTTTTTGGAATTCCCTATCGCAGGAGGAAACATATGGGCCAGCCGGAAGTTTAATTGGAAGAGGAGTCTATCCTAATGCTATTTTTATTTTATTCATTTATTTATTTATTATTTCCTATTAGTAATAGAGGTATTTAGAGGTTACAGTTTTAGTTAGACTAGAACTCTATCATGTAAAGGCAGGATGCCTATTTATATTCCTTTTTCAGCCTTAATAAAATCATCGATCATTAGAGAATTAATCCCAGAGAGAAGTCACGGACTTCCCCCCTTCCCCTGCGCCCTTACTGCACTCTTCCAGTCACGGGGAAGAAGAGGAGTAACCCTAGCAGGCACCTTACCACCTCACCTGGGTACCCTGCTACCCCAAGTCGCCCCTGGACCCGTTCTCAATCCCAGAACCATAACAATTTGGTATCAGAGCCGTCACGATCCATGGCGCCACATAATGATGATTTAGCCACCATGATGAAGGAGTTTATGGAGGCTATGACTGCTAAGACAACCGCGTTAGAAGGGCAGATAGCGGAAACACATGAAGATGAAGTGGATAACAGCAGAGTGGAAGACCAGAATTCACAGAGAACCACGAACCCCTAGAGACCACACTATGCGAAGATGGAGTTCCCAGTATTCGATGGCAACTCTGACCCTATCAGCTGGTTGAAAAGATGTGAAAAATTCTTTTTGAATCAAGAAACTCCTAGTGCTGCCAGAGGGAATGTTGTGGCGTTCCACTTGATAGATGATGCACAACTCTGGTACGACCAAATGATCGAGGAGGAAGGTGAAGTCAACTGGGATAAGTTTAAAGACCTTTGCCTGGAGCGTTTTGGGGCCTCTCTGAGTTCTAACCCGGTAGGTGATCTAAAGCTTTTGATGCAAACAGGGACAGTTGATGAATATTGTGGACAATTCCAGAAGGCCTTAGCAAGAACTTCAGGAATACAACCCACACATCAGATTGTCTTATATGTCGCTGGTTTACAACCTCACTTGAGGGCGGATGTGGAGATGGCAAAACCAGGAAACCTCGGGTATGCAATGAACCTTGCGCGGACATTAGAAGCCAAGCAATCATTGACAATTGCACCTGTCAAAGGTTGGAGTGTTGCAACAGATGCGAAACAACGAAGCCCGCAACAGCATAGACAAGCGACCATGACAACTAAGGCAGGGAACCCGATTATTAAACGGCTCACGAAGGGTGAAATGGAAGAACGACGAGCAAAAGGGCTCTGTTATAATTGTGATGAACTCTGGTCAATGAATCACCGGTGCAAGAAGCTTTTCTTGATCGAGATCGAAGATGAGGAGGAAGAAGATGGCCTACCAGACTTGGAGTTGTCTGTCAACGCTATCAGTGGTACAAAACACTCATCGACCATGCAATTACTAGCACGAATGGGAGGAACAGAGTTGACAATGTTGATTGACTCCGGAAGCACCCATAATTTCTGAAGAGAAGCCGTAGTATCCTCTCTGAAGTTACCAATTGTCAGGAAGTCGGGGTTGCATGTGCGAGTGGCTAATGGTGAAAGGGTTCCAAGTCAGGGAGTATGCAAATCAGTTCCTTTCCTGGTTGATGGAGAGGAATATAGCGCAGAATTTTACACCATTCCGCTGGAGGGTTTTGATGCCATACTAGGCGTGTCCTGGTTGGCAAGTCTAGGGCCCATATTATGGGACTTCTCAGATAGAACGATGTGATTCGAAGGGGGGAGCAAGACAGTGATTTGGCGCGGACAGCACCCTACATTTGTTCCTCGTGTGGCGCTGCTTCACAGCAACGACCCAGACACAACTCAGTTGGACATCTTAATGAGGGAATATGAAGATTTATTTGCTGAACCAAAGGGGCTGCCACCGCAGAGAGAGTGTGATCACCGGATTACCCTAAAACCTGGAACAGGACCGGTGGTAGTGCGACCATACTGGTACCCTTACTTCCAAAAAGACGAGATTGAAAGGGCAATGTGAATTGATGCTCGATCAGGGAATAGTCCAGCCAAGCAGATCACCATTCTCTTCTCCAGTTCTACTCGTTAAGAAGCACGATAATTCTTGGCGGTTTTGTGTTGATTATCGAGAACTTAACAACAACACCGTCAAGGATAAATATCCTATTACGGTAGTAGATGAATTGCTTGATGAACTTCACGGTGCAAAATATTTCACCAAACTGGATTTAAGATCAGGGTATCATCAAGTCCGAATGCATCCCGAAGATGTGGAGAAAACTGCATTTCGTACCCATCATGGGCATTTCGAGTTCTTAGTTATGCCCTTTGGCCTAACTAATGCACCATCCACTTTTCAAAGTCTTATGAACAACATCTTTTGCCCGTATTTACGCAAGTTCATCTTGGTTTTCTTTGACGATATTTTGGTTTACAGTAAAACATGGGTGGAACATCTTCATCATGTGCGGCTTGTGTTTGCAATTCTACGTCAAAACAACCTTTTCTTGAAGCAGTCCAAATGTATGTTTGGAGTAACCCAAGTCTCGTACCTGGGACATGTCATAAATGAAAAGGGGGTAGAAGCTGATAGCTCAAAGGTGATTTCTGTTAAAGCATGGCCAATTCCTCACTCAACAAAAACTCTAAGGGGTTTTTTGGGACTGACAAGCTATTACCGAAAATTCATACAAAATTACGGCGAGATTGTAGCCCCCTAACATCTCTTTTAAGGAAAAACTCATTTCAGTGGACTCCAGAAGCGCACCATGCATTTGAGAAACTGAAGGAGTTACTCTCTTCTGCTCTCGTGCTTTCATTACCTAATTTCCAGAAAGAATTTGTGGTGGAATGTGATGCATCCGGGACCGGGGTGGGGGCAGTGCTCCAGCAGGAAGGACACCCTATTGCCTTTTTCAGTAGGAAATTCGCAGAGGGGCATCAAAAGTTGGCAGCTTATGAAAGAGAGTTAATCGGCCTCGCTAAAGCCATTACGCATTGGAGACCATACCTCTGGGGTCGCCAATTTTTGGTCCGCACTGATCACTCCATCTTAAAGTACCTCCTGGAGCAACGCTTTACAACCTGTCCGCAACAGCATTGGCTAAGCAAGCTGGTGGGATTTGATTTTCGTGTGGCATATAAGCCGGGAAGATTAAATGCGGCTGATGATGCCCTCTCACGCAGAGAGGACGTTGAGATAGAATGTGTGGCAATCACTATTCCGATAACCACCTTGTTTGAAACAATTAAAAAGGAAGCAACTAGTTCGCCAGAATGGTCTGCAATGGAGGAAAAGGTCAAACAAGGGAAACTAGGAGAGGATTGGAAGCTTGCAGAAGGGTTGCTGCTGTTTAAAGGGAGAGTTTTTCTCGGCTCTGACTTTCCAATTATTCCTCAGATTATCTCCGAATTACATGATATGGGACACGAAGGCACAGAAAAAACGTTGCAGCGTATTCGGCGCGATTTTTATTGGCCCGGTATGAAAAAATGGTGGGAGATTACATCAGATTATGCCAAGTTTGTCAGAGAAATAAATGGGTAAATCTACACCCTGCAGGGCTGCTGCAGCCATTACCGGTACCCGAAAAAATTTGGGCCAATATCTCACTAGATTTTGTTGAAGGGCTGCCAAAAGTCAAGGGAAAATCAGTCCTGCTTGTGGTGGTGGATCGTTTCTCAAAATACGCTCACTTCATTCCCTTGTCCCATCCATATACCGCGCCATCAGTAGCAACAATTTTCTTCAATGAGATTGTCCGTTTGCATGGTCTGCCGGAAACAATAGTCTCTGATCGTGACAAGATCAGAGACATTTTGGAGAGAATTGTTTCGTCTGTCTGGAACCAAGCTCACCTTTTCGGCCGCTTATCATCCGCAAAATGATGGACAAACCGAGGTCATTAATCGCACTATAGAGATGTAATTGCGATGCATGACAGGAGAGAAGCCAACGAAATGGGTGCAATGGATACCGTGGATTGAATTTTGTTACAATACTTCCTACCATACATCACTAGGAGAAACACCCTTTCGCTTGGTATATGGCCGAGAACCACCTCAGTTATTGGCTTATTCTGCAGGCTCCACACGACTGGAGGCAGTTGATAAGGAACTCATTACTCGTGATGAGCTCGTAACCACCGCAAGAGAGCAGTTATTGTTGTCCCAACAGCGCATGAAGAGAGCATATGACAATAATCATCGGGACTTACAGTTTAATGTAGGTGATTGGGTGTGGCTGCGACTACAACCGTATCGACAACTCACAGTAGGTCGCTCTAAGCAACACAAACTGCTTCCTAAATTTTATGGGCCATTTAAAATATTAGCAAAGGTAGGCAGTGTGGCATATCAGTTGGAGTTACCACCAGGAAGCAAAATACACAACACTTTTCATGTCTCTTTACTCAAGCCTCATCAAGGGAGTGTTCCACCAGCACCAGGGCTACTACCACCGCTGAAGGACGGCAAGGCCCTGCCACTGCCAGCCAATGTTCTTCACTGTCGTTTAAACAGAGGAGAGAAGGAGCTGTTAGTCCATTGACAAGGCCACACAGCTCAGGAGGCAACTTGGGAGCCGTTTGACACTTTTATTGCTGCTTATCCAGGATTTGAGCTTGGGGACAAGCTCAGTTTCGAGGGAGGGAGTGATGTTACGGATGCATTTTTTCGAATTCCCTATCGCAGGAGGAAACATATGGGCCAGCCGGAAGTTTAATTGGAAGAGGAGTCTATCCTAATGCTATTTTTATTTCATTCATTTATTTATTTATTATTTCCTATTAGTAATAGAAGTATTTAGAGGTTACAGTTTTAGTTAGACTAGAACTCTATCATGTAAAGGCAGGATGCCTATTTATATTCCTTTTTCAGCCTTTTAATAAAATCATCAATCATTAGAGAATTAATCCCAGAGAGAAGTCACGGACTTCCCCACTTCCCCTGCGCCCTTACTGCGCTCTTCCAGCCACGAGCAAGAAGAGGAGTAACCCTAGCAGGCAGGTTATCACCTCACCTGGGTACCCTGCTACTCCAAGTCGCCCCTGGACCCGTTCTCAGTCCCAGAACCATAACAAGAAACTTCACCAATTGGTTCAAAACCTGTTGATTCCCTGCAAGAAGCTAACTCTCACACTGCCGCTTGAGGCGAGACGAAGCAATGATTGCGCGACCATTCACCTCTTCGGAGATTTGAACTAAAGACCTCTCATATGAGTAATATCTTTCAAGTACTCCATTACAGTTAACTTCTGTTTTTTGCCATTATAGCTTTTAGCACCAATATGCTCAAGAATCTTAGTTTTGATGTTAATGAATACTATAACTAATGAAATTCTTTGAATGTAAAAATGAAATTCAATTTACTGTATTTTATGCTTATTGGTTTTTGTGTGGGGTATGCATCAACACGAGCTTTACTAAAAAATAGATTAAGAAGTACTCATAGTTATTACAGCGAGGTTTCGCGGCGCGGTGCCTCCGGACCGCCATGGCGATATGGCGCCCACCGTGGCGACATCGCGGCAATAAGTCGCCACAGGTACAATAATAAACCCATAATAATAATAATGTTTTATAAACTAAATGTCTACATGTAACACTTATAGCCAACACTACTCATCAAGTAGTAAAACATGTAATCATAGAAACTACATAACCATAGGTCTATAGTTCATCGATACAATCACAAAAATTGTCCATAATCCAAGAACTACAAATAACATAATCCAATCATCAGTCCACTTCATATCATCAAAATTACTTCTCAACAAGATTCACCTTTAAATCTCTTTCAAGAGCTCTGGAAAAGTTACGTTCCTAAATAATATTTTGGCAATAATGCAATATATATAAATTATATATATACCTGGATGTGTGCATGTGTGATACTCCTCAAATCATGTAGCCTCAATTACGTTTGAAGAAATTAATTTGTGCTGTCACTGTGTCACTGACATTCTCGGTTCTAAGCTTTTACTTTCATTACACGAATTGATTACAGACCGAGGGTATGACCAAAGCAGATAAAACAATTTATTTTCAAAATTAGGATATCAATCCTGATGACAACAACCTCCAAGCCTTAATCCCAAAAGAGTTTAGGATCAACAAACATGAATCAGCATATGAAATCGGAGATATAAAGGATAAAAGAGGTCAATCCTCTATACGTATACTCTCTCCACTTCGCACTCTCCAAAGTCATACTTTCATCTAACCCAAAAAGTATTATATCATTTCTGACCACTCTAATCACATCTAATTGGGTCGTGCTCTCCCTCTTCTCCCTGTCTCATCCCTACCTCTCAATGAGAGGTAGTGGCTCTCAACCCTGACAAAATTTAATAATCTAATTTGCACCTACATTACTCCTTTGTGTACATTAGCATCTGTATATGATTGGTAACTTTCAGTTACCTCCAACTGGGGGCTTCCTTGAATAATCTCCAGGTACACTCATAAGGACTTGATTATCAGGTATATCATTCAATTTTAACAAATCAGAGGTACTATCCTGCAAAGACATTGTTTAAGAATGAGATGAATATCTATATGACAACACAAAAGAGACAAACCAAATGTAAAATCCAGCACATGGAAGAAGCAGACCTTCCCGCCAGAGTAACCTAGGAGGAGGCATTCATATGGCCTGTGATGAAAGAGATCCAATTCACTTATCAATAACCCATTCAGCTTTACCTATAACATTGAACACTATCAAATTAGCAATGAAAGAATGTAGATACACTGTTCATCACCATATAGTTAAGGTTGAAGATGACCTTCAACCAATATAAGCTGGCCACATATGTTACACCCCATGATGGAAATAATTCATTCTCAACGAAACTCCGCAGTTTTTCCCTGTTGGTTACCCATAAGGCAACCAAGGCTCCAGCAGTATGAGTCAGTTTCTTGATGGGAAGAGATAAGAAGGTTCGGTTAGGCAATGTTTGATACCTGCAATTTTGTAGGAAATCAAACTAAAAGTGAGCTCACTAGCCCAGCAATAGTGATACCCAAACGTACTACATATGACCCATACAATGTGATATTAATATGTTATAGTAGCAGCCCAACAAATGATCGGCATTGATGAGTCATAATTGTAGACAATATCCAATTGCTTGCCAATAAAGGGGAGTCAATGGGTTGCTACATAGATGAAGGCACGTGTATTTTGTACTCTTTCACATAAAAAGAATCCTATTTGAAAAGCTTTTTGTCAAAAGAAAGTCAAATTTTAACAAACAAAGCTATTTTTCATTTATTTTGCCAATAAGATTTTATACCAACATATAATTTTAAAAAGGGAAATTCTATAGTACCCTTAAGGTAAAGGATATTGTAGCTTATCTATATGGACCAATCAAAATACCTTAAACAATTAAAATATAAATAAATGATGAAATAATGATGTTGACCAATCAAAAGTGTTATAGGTGTGGTTCCCTCACTTTTTGATGGGGTACCCGAAGCATGCACCTTTTAAAAAATATACATATACTTAGAAAGAATAGACAACACATTGATCCTAGGGTTCCGTCGACAAAAATATAACTATTAAATATTTCAAAAAAAAAAAGTGACTAAAAAACGCAACTGCAGATCTATCCCCATCTCTTTTCTGATTTCTCTCAACCCCCATCATCTCCCCATCTGCCATCACTGACCATCGACCACAGCCACCGCATCCGGTCAGTTGAACCAGCCACTGGCTATCGCTAGCACCGGAAATTTTCTAGAAAGCAAATGCCAGGAAAAGTCAACAGGAACTGCCTCTGCCGGTGACTGACATGTAGGACGGCGTCACTAGCAGGGACATACTATTTTGGAATATTGAAAAAGTGGCCATGTATTAATGACTTTTAATATTTGTTCACTTTAGTAATATTAATTTCAAAACCACATATGTTTATGACTTCTAATATTTGTACCTAGATGAATTAAAATTTATACCTTGACCAAACATAACTCACAATTTTTAAACAGGGGCAATATCACGAATCTACTTATCATCCACCAATTACGTTCATAAATATCATTTCAGAACATAAACAAGTAATCACTACTAAAAGGTCATCTATCAGGCATGAAGGAGTGTAGTATAATAACAGAAAGCTCTCCATAGAGTTATACACAAAAATTTCAACAAAGCCACCTAATTGAAGTATGCTTCAAATGTGGCAATGATATTCAAAGAAAGGGGAATCATACCTTCGTTTCTGATGGGCACTGCTGTTTTCCCATGGTGGGTCAATGACTATAATATTAAATCCACCGTTAGAATCAACTGCAAGGAGAAATAATTTAATGTTTAACCAGTGTGACAAACAATAAATTGTTAAAAGCTTCAGACTGAATAATGATAAAATTTCCAATCAATTAGACAAATTCGGCATAATACAATGGCATTGCATCTCAGGGCAGACAAAATTAAGCAAGATACAAGCTATTGATTCCTACATACATTAGTACCTCGAAAAACATGAAATAAGGATGCAGTATCAGCACTTACCGGGGATTAGGTTGTGAATTTTCCGCACATCAGACTACCAACAGAAAAGGGGAAAAAGAGTTAAGTATTAAAATCAGGATTCAAGTAATCAAATACAGTAAAACTAAAAAATGACATGGTTACAATCCAAAAGATCATTCAATGAAGAATATTGTTGGGGTGGAAGGATACATACTAGAAACTTCAGGATGTCAAGTTGTTTTAGTTAAAATTCTTTGCCAGATACTTTTAAAATAACTTCAATAATAGATGACCATTTTACCATGTAGAAACAACTGTCTTTGGGGATAATATATTTGTGGTTCAAAAACTCAGCCTCTACATCCCCACTTCCTTTATTCACAATGAGATTATCAAAGACTGGGACCACATCTTGCTTGAAATGTCGACCATGACGAGATCCTGTTAAACCAAACAGCAAAGTTATTGTTTTCCGAAAGCATTGTCCCTTTTGGACTTCAATCTATGTAGTAAGTTCTTCCACAGTCCAATAGAGAAGCAGAATCGAGATAAAGTACTTGTAACATGTAAAACTCCCAATATAAGCTCTGTTTGACAGCATTAACAGGCTTTTTCTGCTTATGGTAGAATTTACAGAATAAATAGAATTTGACTTGCTTGGTTGAAATGGTTTTACCAAATGCTTTTTCTTTTAAAACAAATCAGCAGGTTAAGTCTCTTCACCATTTCAACCAAAGAACCGTTACCAAAGTAACCAAACTAGCTCATAATATGATATTCATCCAATAATAAGTCTAACCTTTCCGTTCTTCCAAATGCTAGTCTTATTCAAGAATAGAGCTCATAGAAATGATGATTTTCTGTCTAAAACTCAAATATTTGCTACTGCATGTCTGTGCATAGTACCCTTTTGAGTTTCAGTTAATAAGACTAACTAGATATGCTATGTCCACAAGATTCTCAAAGTAAGTTAATCCCTCCGCAAGAAACTAAGATTGGGATCAAACATACCTTCGTTTTCAATAAATGAATCGTCTTCCTGATAATTGAGAACAATTTCATAAAGCGGAGCTTGCCAAACACTTCCAAGATCCGAAAAAGAATGTTCACAGCTCTGGTGAGGCAATTGTTTAAGTTCCTCAACAGAGGATTCGTTGCGCCTGAGATTCCTCACCGCTTTCAAAAGCTCAGTAGTTCCAAGCAGAGCTTCGTGTGCTTTCAGCAAAAATGGTTTCACCTCCTTCAACAATGACGCGAAATTTGAAAACTGCATAGATGTCTATGACACTACAAAACTATTACTACCTGATGCCGTTGATCGGCAACTTTTTCCCGTTCATTGAGAGAGAGAGGCTTCTTCTTTTCTTTGCGCTTCCGCTTTCTCGGTTCTAAGAATGTCTCGAGCTTCTCAGTGGAGTCGAAGAAACGAGTGTAGTATGCGCACGGGGAAACCTTATACCTCGTATAGGACCTGTTTAGGACCCGAACCGGATCGAGGAAGAAGGCATTAGCACCTTGAAACCGATAGATGCCGGAGTTCATGAATGACAATAACTGGCCGTCCTCCATGTCCACGACAGTGATTCCAAAACAGAATAAACAAAAATATAAAAGGATTGAGGGACTAATCTGCTTTGGAAAATTAAACAAAAGAAAATATATTATCCACTTTAATTTTAGAGTTAATGATTCAAATAGGAGCACAAATGAAACACAATTTTCGTAGGACCAAAAATAGCTTTATTGGACAAAAACACCCCTGTTATAATATTTAAACTGATGCTTGAGAAGGAATTGCATGTTGCACGAGGTCCGTGAGCCGAAACTTTGGGCACTCGCAAATGCAAAAGCACCCCACGCACGCGCCGCCTGCCTCCGGCCGTCCACCCTCACCGCCGCCTCCCACACGGGCGTCTCCATCTTTAGCAAGCCCACCAGCATCGCCATCTGCCACCACCGCGACTATTCTCTGCCGTCTTTGCCGGCCAATCATCACAGTCGACGCTGCCACTTTGGTCACCATCACCGCTTTTATCAAAATTGTCGTAGTGTCAATTTCAGGGCCATAACTTCAACACAGAGCACCGCCGCCGCTGTCACAACTCCAGCGCCATAAATCTGCCATTAAGTTGACAGATTTAGCCTTGAAGATTAATTACAAATATTTCATGAAAATGAATTTTCAAAACTGCCATAAAATTGACATATTTATTTTGCAGATTTATATAAAACCCCTTTTTCCATAAAATTGGCAGATTTATTTTGCAGATTTATACAAAATTGGCAGATTAATACACATTTCTGCCAAAAACATGGCAAAATGTGAAGTTATCATCCAAAATTTTGGAAAATCGTTTTTTAACTAATAAATCAGAAATCAGAAGTTCAGAACGGTGAAATAGTAGTCCGAAAACTAATAAAATCAATGTCAAATCCCAGAAAAATGGAAAAATATTAGGAAAATCAGAAAAATCAATGTAAACTTCAGAAAATTAGAGGAATAAGGGCGGGGAGGAGGAGGAGGAGGAGGAAGAAGAAGAGGAAGAAGAAGAAGAAGAAGAAGAAGAAGAAGAAGAAGAAGAAGAAGAAGAAGAAACCTCGCAGCGATGTACAGAGACGAATGGATGACGGTGCGCAGGGAGAACGATCGATCTGGTGCGGCGCAATGCATAGAAGAGTCTATGTCAACGGCGATGGTACACAGGGAAGTCGGCAGCGGTGTTGTGAAGGGAGGAGTACCATGGTGATGAATTGTGCACAGGAGGAAGGGATCTATGTGTGTGCAGGAGAGAAGTAGATCGAAAAGTACAGATCAGGGGCAAATGGGGAATGAAATTTACGTATGTTTTAGAATAGGAGTAAATGAGTCCTATTTGGGGGGGAAACATACATGGTCCTATTTGAGAATTTTTCTTCTCTCTTAGTCCTACTAGTTACTCCACCCGTGTGTTGCACGGGAGTGAGACACCCACATAATAATTTAGATACAATTATATATTTAAAAATATTTAAAAAAAAATATTGTGTTAGAGTTATTTGAAAACATTAAATAAATTATGAATAAATGGTAAGAACTAAATGTAAAACATCACACGATGAAATTGATGTGCATTTAAGTCAACTACATTATAACGAAAATTATAAATTACTTTATAGTACATATTTCTTTGTAAACAACATTCAATGTTGATTTGGTTGGTTGTCCATCTTCGTCATTACAAACGCCAATCTCATGAACTTGTTACTTTCCACACCGCCACGTACAAATGTTTGTGAGTAATAATGGGGCGTCAGAGTAAGATGAGAACCTTTTTCAATGATTGTCCATAACTCTAAGGCGGGACAATTTTAAGAGGAGAATGTTTAGCCGGGAAAATTTTCTCTCTCCAATTCAGTGTTTTTAGGTATATGATGAAATTACATTATAGGATTATAGGATGATGATTTTTTTTTGTATAGTGTAATTACAGTTTAGGATTTTAGGTAGAGAATGCTTAAGCGGGAGAATTTTCTCTCTCCAGTGTAGTGCTTTTAGGTATAGGATTTTTTTGCGGAAAGTGAAATTACATTTTAGGATTTTAGGCGGAGAATGCTTAGTCGGGAGAATTTTCTCTCTCTAGTGTAGTGCTTTTAGGAATATATATATATATGTTTTTTTTTGCGAAAAGTGAATTAACATTTTAAGATTTTAGGCAGAGAATGCTTAGATGGGAGAATTTTCTCTCTCGAGTGTAGTGCTTTTAGGTATTGAATGATGCATGATGATTTTTTTGGGGGTGGGGAAGTGAAATTACATTTTAGGATTTTAGGCGGAGAACGCTTAGGCGAGAGAATTTTCTCTCCTCAGTGTAGTGCTTTTAGGTATATATATAAATATATATGATAATGATGATGATAATGATGATGATGATTTTTTTGTGGAAAGTGAAATTACATTTTGGGATTTTAGGCTTAGGCGGGAGAATTTTCTTAGGAGAGGCGTACAACTCGTATTTTTTCCCGTGGAAAGTGAAATTATATTTTAGGATTTTAGGCTTAGACATGAGAATTTTCTCTCTCCAGTGTAGTGCTTTTAAGTATATGATGATATTTTTTGCGGAAAGTGAAATATTATTTTAGGATTTTAGGCGGACAATGCTTAGGTGGGAGAATTTTCTCTCTCTAGTGTAGTGCTTTTAGGTATAGGATTTGAAAACATTAAATAAATTATGAATAAATGGTAAGAACTAAATGTAAAACATCACACGATGAAATGGATGTGCATTTAAGTCAACTACACTATAACGAAAATTATAAATTACTTTATAGTACATATTTCTTTGTAAACAACATTCAATGTTGATTTGGTTGGTTGTCCATCTTCGTCATTACAAACGCCAATCCCATGAACTTGTTACTTTCCACACCGCCACGTACAAATGTTTGTGAGTAATAATGGGGCGTCAGAGTAAGATGAGAACCTTTTTCAATGATTGTCCATAACTCTAAGGCGGGACAATTTTAGGGGGACAATGTTTAGGCGTGAAAATTTTCTCTCTCCAATTCAGTGCTTTTAGGTATAGGATGAAATTACATTATAGGATTATAGGATGATGATTTTTTTTGTAAAGTGTAATTACAGTTTAGGATATTAGGTAGAGAATGCTTAAGCGGGAGAATTTTCTCTCTCCAGTGTAGTGCTTTTAGGTATAGGATTTTTTTGCGGAAAGTGAAATTACATTTTAGGATTTTAGGCGGAGAATGCTTAGGCGGGAGAATTTTCTATCTCCAGAGTAGTGCTTCTAGGTATAGAATTCTTAGGCAGAGAATGCTTAGACGGGATGTAGTGCTTTTAGGTATATGATAAAATTACATTTTAGGATTTTAAGCTTAGGCGTGAGAATTTTCTCTCTCGAGTGTAGTGCTTTTAGGTATATGATTTTTTTTTTGCGAAAAGTGAAATTATATTTTAAGATTTTAGACGGAGAATGCTTAGGCGAGAGATTTTTCTCTCTCCAGTGTAGTGTTTTTAGGAATATATATATATATGTTTTTTTTTTGCGAAAAGTGAATTAACATTTTAAGATTTTAGGCAGAGAATGCTTAGATGGGAGAATTTTCTCTCTCGAGTATAGTGCTTTTAGGTATAGAAAGATGCATGATGATTTTTTTGGGGGTGGGGAAGTAAAATTACATTTTAGGATTTTAGGCGGAGAACGCTTAGGCGAGAGAATTTTCTCTCCTCAGTGTAGTGCTTTTAGGTATATATATATATATAATGATGTGTGTGTGTGTGTGATAATGATGATGATAATGATGATGATGATTTTTTTGTGGAAAGTGAAATTATATTTTGGGATTTTAGGCTTAGGTGGGAGAATTTTTTCAGGAGAGGCGTACAACTCGTATTTTTTTCCGTGGAAAGTAAAATTACATTTTAGGATTTTAGGTAGGCTTAGACATGAGAATTTTCTCTCTCCAGTGTAGTGCTTTTAAGTATATGATGATTTTTTTTTTGCGGAAAGTGAAATATTATTTTAGGATTTTAGGCGGACAATGCTTAGGTGGGAGAATTTTCTCTCTCTAGTGTAGTGCTTTTAGGTATAGGATATGATGATGATGATGATGATGATGATGATGATGATGATGATTTTTTTGTGGAAAGTGAAATTACATTTTGGGATTTTAGGCTTATGCGGGAGAATTTTCTCAGGAGAGGCGTACAACTCGTATTTTTTCCCGTGGAAAGTGAAATTACATTTTAGGATTTTAGGCTTAGACATGAGAATTTTCTCTCTCCGGTGTAGTGCTTTTAAGTATATGATGATTTTTTTGCGGAAAGTGAAAGTATTATTTTAGGACTTTAAACGGACAATGCTTAGGTGGGACAATGCTTAAGTTGACAGATTTAGCCTTGATGATTAATTACAAATCTTTCATGAAAATGAATTTTCAAAACTGCCATAAAATTGACATATTTATTTTGCAGATTTATATAAAAACCCATTTTTCCATAAAATTGGCAGATTTATTTTGCAGATTTATACAAAATTGGCAGATTAATACACATTCCTGCCAAAAACATGGCAAAATGTGAAGTTATCGTCCAAAATTTTGGAAAATCGTTTTTTAACTAATGAATCAGAAATCAGAAGTTCAGAACGGTGAAATAGTAGTCCGAAAACTAATAAAATCAATGTCAAATCCCAGAAAAATGGAAAAATATGAGGAAAATTAGAAAAATCAATGTAAATTTCAGAAAATTAGAGGAATAAGGAGGAGGAGGAGGAGGAGGAGGAGGAGGAGGAGGAGAGGAGGAGGAGGAGGAGGAGGAGGAGGAAGAAGAAGAAGAAGAAGAAGAAGAAGAAGAAGAAGAAGAAGAAGAAGAAGAAACCTCGCAGCGATGTACAGAGACGAATGGATGACGGTGCGCAGGGAGAACGATTGATCTGGTGCGGCGCAAGGCATAAAAGAGTCTATGTCAACGGCAATGGTACACAGGGAAGTCGGCAGCGGTGTTGTGAAGGGAGGAGTACCATGATGATGAATTGTGCACAGGAGGAAGGGATCTATGTGTGTGTAGGAGAGAAGTAGATCGAACAATACAAATCAGGGGCAAATGGGGAATGAAATTTACGTATGTTTTAGAATAGGAGTAAATGAGTCCTATTTGGGGGGGGGGGGGGAA